GAAAGAGCCAGAGTTTATGAAGAGAGAAGGAGCTTGATCAGAACAGCTACAGGGAGGAGATTAGATTAGGATGGACCGGGTAGCCAGCCTAGGGCAGGTGTGGTGAGACCGCGGGTGAGAGACACTTCCGTTGAGTCTGAAATGTACATGACTTGCTTATCCGTCTGGTCCTGCACCTCACTCACCCCCAGGAAGGGGAGTTCTTTATTGTCTCAGCCTCATTACCACAGGGATCTAAGGCAGTCTGCAGAAAATGCATAGGAACATAGAACAAGCAGATGAGGAAATCTGAGTGAAGGAAATCAGAGGAGCTGAAACTTGGAGCTGGAGGAGCTCTTTGGAGGGCAGAGCTTGGTCTGGGCCCTTGGGAGGTGTAGGATGGGTCTCCCAGATGCTTTTTCTAACTTTTCCTGCATCTGTGGTGAGAGGATGATTCTTTGCTTGCTTTCTCACTCTTCTTAAAGCATTCGGGAAACTGAAGATGAGATCATGTCTCTAACGTGGTTAGCACAGTGCATGTACATGCACAGTAAACATTCAGTAAACAGGAATGTTATGATGAAGAAAATGCTGGAATCCTTAGCACTAAAACTGCTGGAAGTTAGGCTTCACAGGAAAAGCACGGATGTGTCAGGCATGTTCCCAGCATTCAGATAAGTCATGGTCTGGTGAGAGAGACGGACCTTCGTAGACAGGTATAGGACAGGGACAGAGGGGATCCATGATCCCCCATGTCACTGTCTTATCTGCTCTTTACCAGCAGCCCCCAGCACAACCTTGCCCTTCCAACTATGGCAGCACCATTGTGAAGTTAGGCTTTGGATCAGTCAAGCTTGGGTTTGAATGCCAGCATCACCAGTTCAACCACTCAGCCCTTCTGTGCATCCCTTGACTCATCTGTGAGTCAGGACAGGAACGTTTCTCCAGGGCTGCTGGAGTGCCCAGCCCACTCCTGGTCATACTCAGAGCATGATAATGAGAGCTGTTACCCACAGAAAGTCAAGGGCAAGAGTTTATGAGCTCCACATCTAATAGCTGCATGCTATCACACCCATTTTCTGACGTGTCTAATCCATAGTTTCCTTAACTCTGCAACAGGGTGATGACAATGAGACTCACCTTTTAGGATTTGTCATGGGGATTAGATGAGATTATATTTGTAAAGGAATTAGTGTAGCCCTTGACACATGCATGAAAAGCACTAAACAAGTGGTATCTGTTAATTACCCAGGAATATGTACAGCAAGATGAAACTTGTTCTGTCTGTAGCTAAGTCTGATAGACAACCAGTGCTAACCTGGAAGGAATGCTCCCAAATTATAAGGAGTATGGAATTGCATTGAGAAAACCAAATGGAACCTGGCTGCTCCCAGCCTGACTGAAATTGCTGAAGCAGTGTGAGGCCACTCCTGTGACCACTCAGGAACTGCTCTGTGGGATAAGAATGTTTCCATCCCATCTCATAAGCGAGCTGGTGCCACTGGATCCCAAAAACGACAATGAGACTATGGAATAAGGGGAGCAGGGTAAGGCACAGTGCTTTCTGAAGGGACGAGTCCTCCAAATAAAGCTCTGTAGGTCAGGGGAAGAGGAGAAACCCTGGCCAAGTATGCCTTCCACATCAGCATCAGCTGAGCAGATTTGAGAATTAGGTATCCAGGTAGGAGGAAGCAAAAGCCATAATAGAGCAGAGAAGTCCTGCAGGAGTGTGTTAGGTAAAGTGCCCAGTGTTTCAACATGCTCTTAAGCTGAAGGTCTGAGAATTACTACTGTGATAATAGGCAGAGGGAAGATGAAGGAACAATTCATTCATGTTTTCTTTCTATTGAGGTAAAACTGGGCTATTTCTAGGTTACTTGATTTTTTATTTTATTTAAATTTCTTTCATCTACCTTCCTGCCACTCCCTTCCTTCCACTCTCTTCCTGCCTTTCTTTCATACTGTCTTTCTTTCTTTCTGTCTTTCTTTCTTCCTTCCTTCCTTCCTTCCTTCCTTCCTTCCTTCCTTCCTTCCTTCCTTCTTTCTTTCCTTCCTTCTTTCTTTCTCTCTCTCTCTCTCTTTCTTTCTTTCTTTCTTTTTTTCTTTCTTTTCTATTTGACCAGAGAGGGATGAGGGGAGAGAGAGAGAATGAGAAAGCAAGCCACTAGATCTGAGACTGGAACCATAGTCGGCCATGTGGTAGTCCAGTGACTTCAACCACCACACCACCTGCTGGTCCCATAGGTTACTTGATTTTTATGCCCAGGTTTGGTTGAAAAATATAACAAACAAACAAACATGGGGACTATGAAAATCCCACATTAAAAAAAAAAATAGGAGACTCAGGAAGAATACTTCTCTGAAAATGATAGACCACAAAATCTAGAAGAAAAAAAAAATTGACAACTTTAGCAGACTGTAAGAAAATATGATCTGTCTTAGTTCACATGGGCTGCCATAAGAATGTACCACAGGATGGGTGGCTTAAACTATAGACATTTGTTTCTCACAGTTCTGGAGGAAATTAGGGTGCCTTCGTGGTTAAATTCTGGTGAGGTCTTTATTCCTGGCTTGTAGACATCTACCTTCTACTGTGTCCTCACAAGGCAAAGAGAGATTAGAGGGAGATCTCTGGTGTCTCTTCTTATAAGGGCTTTGGTTGCATCATGAGTACCCCACTCTTATGGCCTCATTTAAACCTAAGCATCTCCCAAAGACTCTTACCTCCAAATACCATTGCACTGGGGCTAAGGCTTCAAGAGATGAGTATCGGAGGGACACAGTTCAGTTCATAGCACGCTCTATGAAAAAGGAGCCTGGAGTTGCATGGCAGAAAAGCAACAAGATAAGATAAAAAAAAAAAAAATAGAGAAGAGTGAAATGAGAAGATTATAGGGAAGCAGAAAAGCTAAGACCAGAGTGAAAACCTACATGGTAGATAGTAAAGAATAGAATTGATCTGCAGAAATGGAATTAGTGATATTAAGGTCAAACATGAACAGATGAAGATAAGAGGAAAAACATGATAAATATAAACAATAGGGAAACAATTTCAGGTAAGTGGTGGTGAAGTACCAGTGGGCTAGAAGCCATAACTCAGAGATGTAATAGAAGAAAAATTTGCTAAACTAAAAGGAAGCCTGTATACAGAGAGTGTCAATGTGGATATACTTGTACCTATATCTCAGTAGCATTTTAAAATTATAAACCTGAAGGAAAAAAGAAAGCAGCAATGATATAGGCATCCAAACATAAAAAAGCAGGTTACCTACATATGAATTCAAGATAGATTTGCCTCAGACCTCTCTACAATGTTAAATCCCAAGAGATAATAGAAAGCTTTGAAAGGGAAAGGTTGTAATGTAAGAATTTTATATGTAAAAAAAAAAAATTGTGATCTATGTTTAAAGAAAAATGAGGCCACAAAAGCATACTAAATTTCCTATGCACTCATTGTCACAAAATTATTTGAAGATTTACTTTGATGAATGGAATGGCAGAGTGCACTCAAAGGTTCAGCTATGAGGAATTCATATCATAAGAAGACTTGTGACTAATAAAACCAGATAAACTAGAACTAAGTTTAAAGTGTTACAGATCATTATAGAATTAAATGTTAAAGACAAAGCTTATTCTAAAATACTGAAAAGGAGGGTTTCTGTTTTTTGTTTTTTTAATGCAGGGAGGTATTGGTTAGGGATACAGTAAAGTAGGTTAAAGCCAGCCCTACTCTTAGTGTGGTCCCAGACCAGCAGGATCAGCATGTGCTAGAAGCTTATTAGAAATATATATTCTCAGATCTCTCAGAATTATGGGATAGTCTCTGAGGTGGAGCCTAGCAATTTATGTTGTGACAGTCTTTTTTTGGTTTTGTATGAATTTTGTAAAGAATTATTTATTTAATTTTATTATTAATATTATTTTTAAAATTTGCTATAAGGCACATATGCTCTCCAGAGAAAGCGGGGGTGGGGGGAGGGTGTGTGTGGAGAGAAAGCTGCCAGGTCTGGGACTTGAACTGCAGTTGGCCATATGGGAATCTAGGGACTTAACCACCATACCACCTGCTGGCCCCGAAACAGTCTTTACTGAGAAGCACTGGGTTAAACATCCTTTCTCAATAATGATAGACTTCAAAATATGACCTCCCACAGACTATGAAGAGAGAGCTATATCTTGTCTAAAATAAGAGAATGTAGGAAAATAGTGGAATAGTCAATATAATGGAAAAACAAGAAGAGTTCATATGCCAAATTACTGAAAACTGGGCTATAGGAGGCACAGTGTTTAAGGCACTGGACTCCAAAATGGCCAACTGTGATTCAAACACTGTACTTGGAGGCTTGAAATTCACACTGGGTGCATGTGCGTGTGTGCCCAAAATCTCAAGAGGATGATGGAGGAGAAGGGATTGTAGTATGACCATTTTCTTTGGGGGGGTGATTTCTCACCTTTCTCTCTGTCTTTTTGACAAGCTCCCTATAACAAAAATCTCTCTAAAAAGAAAAAATACTGAAAACTAAGGGAACAAATCAGAAAGGGTGGAGCATGAAAAACAAAACTATAAAACTAAATCAGTTATAGCAATAAAAGCAAATGGCATAATCTTCTTTATTAGAAGACAAAGACATCAGGTTAATTTAAAATAATTCAATTATTAATGGTTTTTTAGAGATATACCTAGTTAATTTTTTTAATCTTTTACTTACCCTGAACTTCAGTTTCTCCTTTGTTAATTAGATGAATTCTTTCATGGACTTTCATAGTGCTGTATGTGTCTCCTTGAGAGCACCGCATTTTAAATTTTTATGTGATTATTATTTTTTTTTATTCCTCCTTTTACAGACTGTAAACTCCCTGAAGACAGTAACCACAACTTTACTTAGCATTTTAGGCTGGCATTTAGTATAGTACTTATTTAATGAATAAAAATACAAGAAAATTTAGAGAAGTGTCTTTAGGCACATGCAAGCAAATTGAAAGCAAGGCCTGACAAAATAATTATCAAGAAATTCATATTGGTGCCAGGTGAACTAATAAAGCAGTTTAATTAAATGTTAGAGCACTGGTTCTTAAACATTCCCATGCATCAGAATTTTCTGGAGGGCTTGTTAAAACAGGAATTACTAGGTTCCACCCCTAGATTTTGCCCTTCAGTAAGTCTTGGGTAAATCCTGAGAATTTGCATTGCTAAAAGGTTCCCAGGTAATTGCTGATGCTGCTGGTCTTGAGACCACACTTGGAGAGGCCTCGTGTTACAAGATAGTTTCATGTTAACAAAGGATACAGTTTACAGTAAAGAGTTTGATCTCATGAAACTTCATGCATCAACCACATCATAGCTAACTACACAGACCGGATTTAGAAATGCAAGGAAATGGAAAGATTTATCACAACATTAATCTTTAACAGAGCAAGTAGACAAGGTTATATAGGATTTGAGTAATATAGTTAGTATAACTAATATATTAGTAATATATTATCTGACCAAATAACGTTGAAGCCTACAAATAGCAAATAATATGTATACATTTTCCAGTATTCATTCATCAGTTACAAAAATTATTTAACAACCAACAATTCTAAAGCTTCTACTGGGTCATTGGAAAAGTCATGACATTTTTTTCTATGCTTTTCTATGCAAAAAATGTATCATGACTTTTCTAACAACTCAATATATTGGGAGAGAAAAAAATATATGAACAGGCTAAGAAACCAATTAAGGAAAAAAATTACTTATAGCATGTATAACAATATGTTGATGTCCTTAATCTGCAAAGAGTTTAGCGATTTTAATAAGATAAATACGCCTATAGAAACACGGGCTATACACACAAAAAGGAAGTCACAAAAGAAAAATTGTAGTTAATTAAACATAGGAAATAGTCAGTTTCCATAGAAATCAAAGAAATGAAAAATAAAACCAGGAGTTTCCTCTGTCAGGCAATTTTAGGAAGATTATAATGCTTAATATTGGTGGCAGTGTGTAAAAACGGTCATTTTCACACCTTTCTGGTTGGGGTGATGGTGCTGGGGTTATCAAAAGACAACAAGGCAGATCTTTTTCCCATCTCTTGGAATTTATCCTGAGGAAATAATGTCCAAATATTATGTACAATAATCTTTATTTTGTATTAATGTGGAAAACTTTCTGTAAGGATGTGGATTATAGCATTATTTTAATAGAGAAAAAAATTGAAACAATCTAAACGTCCTATGGGGCAGAGGACTGGCTCAGCAAATTCCTAAGTCCAGCAGGAACTGTGTAGCCAATAAATGCAGTAGAGATCGATATTTATTGATTGGGCAAGATGTCCACAAAGTACTGTCGATTGAATACACAGGGTTACAAAGAGGATATTGATCAGGGCTGGCTAATTCAAGGCCACAGGAGCCAGACAAATGATACAAGCGAGATAAGCACACCCAGAGGAGACAGGAGTGAGGGGTGGGACTGGGTCAGATGGCAAGGCACACACCCCCTACCCCAAGGGGGTGGGTTCTACTCTTCATTTGGGGATTACAGCTAATTGACATTTCTCTTTTATTTTTTTTTTTAATTTTATACATGTATTTATCAGTATTTTATAATTTTCCCCCAGTGAACAATATTACATCAGACATTTTTAAGAAGAAAGAAGTTAGGCAGTGCCAGAAGAGAGGTAAAGATAAAGTCTGGTGGGACCTGAGAGGAAGAAGTGACCCCTGCTGCCAGCGGGTGGGGGGGTCCTCAGGGGCAGGGCAGGTCCTCGAGACAGACAGGGGACCCGGGTGTGGCCATGACAGAGGGTAGGGCTTGCAAAGGGGCTGATGGAGAGGTGGCAGTGGAGGTCAGCCTGGGTCACCGCCCGTTACTGAGCACCAGGACTGGGGGTAGAGCAGTGAAGGAGAGCGGCATGTGCCAGGTACTGTTCTAAGCACTTGACAGAGACATTTAATCCTCACAGCAATCCTGGAAGGTGGTCCTCTTGTTACCTCCATTGTACAGATAGGAAAACTGAGGTACAGGAGGGTAAGAGACTTGCCCGAGGTTACACAGCTCAAAATGACCCAGGTAGGACTTGAACGGAGACATTCCAACACCAGCTTCAGGCTTGATTCTAGTTGGTGGTTCCAGAATGAGGAGGAGTTTGGGGAAGGGGGGGGGGCGGAAGAGCACGCTGATGCTTCTGGGTGGGGGTCAGATGCCCGTTTTCACCCCCTTGCTCTCCTTCTTGGACAGAAACGGGCAATTACACCTGTGAATTCTGTGGCAAGCAGTACAAGTACTACACACCCTACCAGGAGCACGTGGCCTTACACGCCCCCATCAGTGAGTAGGGGTGTGGGGGACCGGGGAATGAGTGGGCCAGCCATTGGCCAGGGCTCTGGAGCTCTGCCAGGGGAGGGTGAAAGCAAGGTGAGCATGGTGCCAGACCAGTCTGTAGGCTGAGGTCTGGTCGGGGGCCACCTGGCTGCAGTAGCTGGAACAGCTGCGAAGGCCCAGTTCTTAAAGCCAGTAGAGTCTGAGTCCTCCCTTAGTGAACTTGGAGATCTGGATGTCCTATGGATTTGGGGGAAGAGGGCATCTCTTGTTTGAGTCCTCCAGTGGCCCTGTTCCCACCTCCTCTAAGCACCTCTAAATCATGTGGTTCCTGAATCTCTACCCCCAAAGCCCAGTGCCCTGGGACTGGGCAGCTTCCATGTGAACTAACGCAGAGAGTAAACCAGGCTAGGACTGTAGGTAACTAGATGAGACAGCTCCTCTTTACCCTGGTTGGTGGAAAGCTAAGTAAGTAAAGGGAACATTGAGCTAGGAGTCGGAAGTCCTGGGTGTTAATCCTAGCAGGTCCCTGGCCTGTGACCTTGAGCAGGTCCCATCCTGACTCTGGCCTGCAATCTCTCACTCTTCCCCTGGCAGGGAAGGGAAAGGGCTCTAAGGACCTTTCCCCCAGGGTCATCCTGGCCTTCCATTCTCCTGATGCCTATGGGACACATGCTGATTTCCCAGCTGCTCTCTCTCTGGGTGTCATAAGGGGCTCCATCCTTAGATCCTGAAGTATATGAGTTAGGAGGGACCTCAGGTCTCCAGCCCTTCTTGTTTCTACTCGGATGGTTTTTAGGCAGTCTCATGGAGTAGGGCAGGATGTTTAAGAGCCTGTTGGGAATATGACTGCTTTCGTTTCTCCCAGTGGAGTCCTGGGGTTCCATTCTCCATTCTACAGATAGGAAGACATAGGTGCAAAGAAAGCAGGAGGGTTAATGCAGGGGTTCAAGCCACTCACAAACTGGTGCAGCCCCGACTCCCCTAGATCCCTGATTGTGGCAGGGAAATGTGTCTGGAACATGAAGGATGGTGTGGGTAACTTCTCCAGGAACTCCTACCAGCTGGGCAGAGTGGCAGGGGGCAAAGGAGTCTTCCTGTAGGCCAGAGCTTCAGGCCTGAGGTTGAGCACCTGGCTAGGATTCTCATCTTGGCCTGACTCCTGACTGCTGTGTGACATGTGCCTGTTGATTTTCTTCTCTGGGCTCAAATTTCGTGTCTGTGAGCTCTTGAGATCTTTCTAGCCTAGGGTCTGGATTCCAGACATCCCTGACATGTGATGACCCTCAGGCAGGCACCTGCTGAGCCTGTCCAAGAGAACCCATCTCACTACTCAGGCTGGGAAGGTCTGGGCCATCCAGTGCCCACACCATAGCCAGATCCTAGATTGGGAGAGAAGATGGAGGTTCTGCTGGGTGGATATTTGACCAACTTGTGGTGCTTCTGCCCAGTTACTGGGGTTGTGGCTGGAATAGAACTTCCTGGCCTGGGCCCCACTGGGAAATCTAGCTTTCCATGGGCAGGAATGGGGCAGGTGTGTGGGGTACCTGCCCACTTATGCTTTCCAGTGAAGCAGTGACTGCTCTGCTACCTGGCACCTAGAAAGTTTGTTATGCTACCCAGAATGCACTTATAGTTAGAGATTAGTTACAAAGCCAGCCTGCAGCCATTGGAGAATGTCTTCAATGCTGCTTCTACCCTTTTTGGAGCAAGTTGGATAAGGTCATGGAGTTAGTAAGAGACAGAGCTTGGCTTTGAACTCTGACAGGCAGATTCCAGGCCCACATCTGGCCATAAAGCTGCCCTACAAGCTATCTCAGATATATACAGCAGAATGGAGTGCTTTGCTTGCACCCTGACTTCTCCCTTATTTTGGTGCTTCTATCCTGTTGGATTGTCTACTTCTGTTTCTCTGTTCCTCATTTCCTTTTTCTCTCTGTTGTAGACACTGTCTTTCTATATCTGTTTGTTCGGTGAATCCTTCTATTACTTAACTGAAATCTGGGGACTTGAGGATTATCTGTGTTTAAAACATAGCATGAGAGATTCAGTCTAGTTCCCATAGTGGATTCATTCTCTGAGGCTGACCAAGAGACAACTTATCTGGTAGCCTCTGCGTCTAGAGAATTCTAGGCCAACGAGTTAAATGTGGAGGCAGGGGCTAAATTTGATGGTATCTGGGGCCAGAGCTTGAGACCCTCTGTCTAGTCAGAGCATCCAGAAAGACTTGGACTGACTGCAGAAGAACTTAGGAGTGGTGTCAATAATATGTACTCAGATTTTGTCTCTGTCTTCTTTCACTCAGCAAAATGTTTTTAGGACTCAATAAGTTGCTATATGTATCAGTTCATTCTTTTTCAATGTTGAGCAATATTCCATAGCATGAAAATACCACAGTTTAGCCATTTACCTGTTCACTTGGGTTGTTTCCAGTTTTAGACTATTGAAAGTAAAGCCACTATGAAAATAGTTCTCTCATGCTTTGTGTAGACATAAACGTGTTCATTTCTCTTGGATAAAGATCAAGAGGTTTAATTACTGGGTCATGGGAAATAGTGTGTTTGACTTTTTAAATTTTACACCATTTTGTAAAATGAGGCTATAGCATCTTATGTTCCCACCAGCCACGTCTGGGTGTTCTACTTGCTCCATGCTCTTGCCAGCGTTTGGTAGCATTGGCATTGAGCTATCAAATTCTAGCTATTCCAGAGAGTGGGTAGTAATATCTCATTGTGGTGTTAATTTGTATTTTGCTGATTATTAATGATGTTGAACATCTGTGTTTGCTTATTGACCATTTGTGTATTTTACTTTGGAAATTATCTGTTTAAGCCTTTTTGCCCATGTTTTTGGTTGGGTTGTTTGCTTTTTTATTACTAATTTGTAGGAGTTTTTTTTATGTATTCTATTAGGTCTCAGTTCTTTGTTAAACATATGTATTGTACATATTTTCTCCCACCCTCTAGCTTGTCTGTTGATATTCAAACAGTATCATTTAATGAGTAGGTGTTTTTATTTTTAAGTTAATGTTTTTCTTTATGAATGAGAGACAGAAACAGGGTCTTTCATGCTGCTATCCATCCTGGCTTCAGTCAGCCCTGGATCATGGGCATCTTCAGACACAAACCAAGAACTTTTCTATGTGAATCATCACAGAGTGTTGCATTACCTCTGCACCACCATCCAGCTCCCTGTTCGTCATTTTTATGAAATCCAGTTTCTCTTATTTTTCTGTAGTTAGTGCTTCCTGGGTCCTACCTCAAGAATAATCTTGCCTGCCTCAAGATGGAAATATTCTCCTTTATTACCTAATAGAAATTTTGGCTTTTTCATTAAGATCTTTGATTCATATTGAGTTAATGTTTGTGAATGGCATAAAGTATGAGTTGAGATTCATTTTATTTCATATAGATACTTGGTTATTCCAACACCATTTGTTGAAAAGATTACTTTCCATATTGTATTGGATTGGAACTATTGTCAAAATCAGTTGAATGTAAAATGAGTTTATTTCTCTTACAGTGATCTGTTCGTCTTATCTTTATGCCAGTTTCACTTGGTCTTATTTACTATAGCTCCATAGTAAGCCTTAAATCAGTTACTCTGAATTTTTAAAATTTGTTCTTTTTAAAGAATATTTGAGGGACCAGCAGTTGGCGTAATTGCTCTGTCACTGGACTCCCATGTAGTTGACTGTGGTTCAAGTCCCAGACCCAGTGGCTTAAACTCACACTAGGTGTGCCCAAGATCCTGAAAGAAGAATGGAGGAGAAGGGATTGCAGCATGGCCATCCCCCCTGGGGGGTAATTTCTTGCTTTCTGTCTCTGTCTCTCTCTTTCTGTCTTGCACACGCACCCTATAGCAAAAAAACTCTCAATAAAACAAAAAAAAAAAGAAGAAGAAGAAGAATATTTGGCAATTCTGGGAACTTTATTTTTCTATATAAATGTTAGAGTCTTCTTGTCAGTGTCTACCAAAAAAAATCAAACAGATTTTGTATGAGATTACAAATAAACTTACTGACCAATTTGAGGAGAATGAACATTGCAGTAATATTGAGTCTTCCAATCCATGAACATGGTATGTCTCTCCAGGTATTTCAAGCTTGTTTAGTTTCTTTCAACAACAATTCATACTTGTCAGAATAGAGGTCTTGTTCATATTTTATTAAATTATCTCTTTTTTATTTTTTAATGCTAGTATGATTTTTAATTTTACAATTGTTGCTATTATATATGAACAATTGGTTTTTTATTTTGAATGTGTATACTGCAAATTTGCATATTAATTTAATAGATTTTTGGAGATTTCTTAGGATTTGTCAAAAATAATGATGTCATCTATTAAAGACAGCTTTACTTCTTTCTTTCTGATCTATGTTTTTACATTTTTTCCCCTTACTATCCTGGTTATGCCCCTCTAGTACATTGTTGAATAAAAGAAGTGATGAGTGGCTGGTCTCTGGCATGTTCCCAATCATAAGGTTCAATTTTTCATCATTAAGTTATCATTTTCATCATTAACTATTGTATTGGGTTTCTATGGAATCTTTTATCAGTTGAGGAAGTTACTTCTATTCAGTTTACTGAAAGTGTTTATTATAATTGGTGTTATGTGGATGTTTTTCTACATTTATTGAGATGAGTCTTTGGATTCTTATCTTTTCTTCTGTTAGTGTGATAAATTATATGGATTTTAAAAAATTATTTGTTTAATTTTATTAATTACTTTTTTTAATATTTGCTATAGGGCACATGTGCTCACCAGAGATAGAGAGGCCGCAAGCACCAGGTCCAGGACTTGAACCATGGTTGACCATGTGGGAATCTAGTGCCTTAACCACCATGCTACCTGCTGCCTCCTACATGGATTTTTGAAACAATAGGGAATAGCAGATGGCATAATGGTTACGTTGCTGAACTCCCACGTAGTTAATCGTAGTTCAAGTCCTAGATCTGGCAGCTTAAAACTCACACTGGGCACATGGGTGTGTGTGTGTGTGTGTGTGC